TTTGTGTGCACTTGCTGGGCCAAATGGCCCATTTCCACACTGTGACAATTCTATGAAGAGAGCTAGGAGTGATATGAAGAGGAAACTTCTTTACTCAAGAGAATTGTTAGGATTTGGAATGTGGTGCCTGAGAGAGTGGCGGAGGCAGATTCCTCGGAGGTTTCAAAAGACAGTTGGATAGATATTTGAAAGTGATTAGATGGCCACGGAGAGAAGTCTAGAGAATGGGACTAGCTGGGTAGCTCTTTTGGGAGCCAGTACAGACACAATGGGTCGAATGGCCTCCTTCTGTACTGCAAAATTTTATTAATCTATGAATTTAGCACTGTAGGCATGTCCTTAGTCTCCACAAGAAGATCTACTTTTTTAACTCCTCCTTGACATCACCTTTCTTTTGACTGCCCATTTACTCGTCTATAAACACTCTTGTATGTCTCTTTGACTGAGGTAAACATATTTTTCATATTATTCCCTAACTCTACGATTTTGTTTCAACACAAATTCCACTTATTTTTTACATTCCAACATTGTGTTGGTTTTTTTTTTACTAATATTGCCTGCTTCCCTCCTCCCTATAACCCTAAAATTGCTCTTATCAAAACAAGGTTGCCAGTTTAAGCCAAGCTTAAGCTGCATCACTATTATATATCATAGCCCTTGCTTTGTGTATCATATGTATCCCACTTGATTAAGTATTATGCGCAAATCTGGGCACTACACCTTAAAAAGCATATATCGGCATTGGAGAAAGCACAATGTAGGTTTACAAAAATGATACCTGGATTTTGGGGTTTATGTTACAGAGTCACAGGACTGTCCAGCGCAGAAAAAGACCCTTCAGTCCAACTCGTCCATGCCGACTAGATATCCTAAATTAATCTAGTCCCATTTGCCATCATTCAGGGTGGCACGGTGGCTCAGTGGTTAGCACTGCTGCCTCACAGTGCCAGGAACCCATGTTTGATTCCACCCTCGGACAACTGTCTGTGTGGAGTTTGCACATTCACGCCATGTCTGCGTATGTTTCCTCTGGGTGCTCTGGTTTCCTCCCACAGTCCAAAGATGTGCAGGCTAGTGGATTGGCCAAACTAAATTGCGTATATTGTGTTTGGGGATGTGTAGATTAGGTGGGTTATAGGGGATGGGTCTGGGTGGGATGCTCTGAGGGTCGGTGTGGACTTGTTGTGCCGGAAGGGCCTGTTTCCACACTGTAGGAATTCTATGATTCTCATTTGGCCTATATCCCTTCAAATCCTTCCTACTGATAGATCCATCCGGATGCCTTTTAAGTGTTGTAATTGTCCCAGCCTCCACCACTTCCTCTGGCAGTTCATTCCATATACGCACCACCCTCTGCATGAAAAAGTTGCTCCTTAGTCCCTTTTAAATCTTTCCCCCTCAACTTAAACTTACGCCCTCTAGTTTAGGACTCCCCTAGCCTGGGAGAAAGACCTTGACTATTCACCCTACCCATGCCCCTCATGATTTAATAAACCTCTATAAGGTCACCCCTCAGCCTCCGATGCTCCAGAGAAAATGGCCTCAGCCTATTCAGTCTTTCCCTATAGCTCATACCCTCCAACCGTGACAACATCCCTGTACATCTTTTCTGAACCTTTCAGGTTTAACATCTTTCCTATAGCGAGCAGACCAGAATTGAACGCAGTATTCCAAATGTGGCCTAACCAATGTCCTGAACAGCAGCAACATGACCTCCCAATTCTTATACTCAATGCACTCATCAATAAGGTCAAGAATACCAAATGCCTTCTTCACTACCCTGTCTATGTGTGGCTCCACTTTCAAAAGAACTATAAACTTGTGCTCCAAGGTCCTTTTGTTCACAAACACTCCCTTTATGAGGAGAGATTATATAAATTAGGATAAAACGAAGAACTACACATGCTGAAGATCTGAACTAAAACAGAAATTGGTGGAGAAGCTCAGCAGGCTTGGCAGCATCTGTGGGTCCAGTGACCCTTTTCCAGAACTGATAGTACTAGGAAAAGGGTTAGCTGTGCTGAAAACAACCCATGTCATAGCAGGGCCTGTGAATGGGGGTTGGTAAAGGACATAGAAGGTGGTGTTCAGGTCCTAAAATTCTCGAACATAGAACAGTACAGCACAGTACAGGCCGTTCGGCACATGATGTTGTGCCGAACTTTTACCCTAAACCTAAGGTCTATCTAACCTCCACCGCTACCTTATACTATCATCCATATGCCTATCTAATAGCCGCTTAAATGCCAGTAATGAGGCCGACTCCACTAACCTCTCTGGCAATGCATTCCACGCCCCGACCACTCTGAGTAAAGAATCTACCTCTGACGTCTCCCCAATATCTACCTTCTTTCACTTTAAAACTATGTCCCCTCGTAATAGCTACCTCCACCCTAGGAAAAAGTCTCTGGCTGTCTACTCTATCTATACCTCTGATCATTTTGTACACCTCTATCAAGTCACCTCTCATCCTTCGTCATTCTAAACAGAAAAGCCCTAGCTCTCTCAACCTTTCCTCGTAAGACCTTCCCTCCATTCCAGGCAACATCCTGGTAAATCTCCTCTGCACCTTTTCCAACGCTTCCACATCTTTCCTGTAATGAGGCGACCAGAACTGGACGCAATACTCCAGATGTGGCCGAACCAGGCTTTTGTATAGCTGGAGCATAACTTTACGGCTCTTGAACTCAATCCCTCTATTAATGAAAGCTAACACACCATACGCCTTCTTAACAACTCTATCTACCTGGATGGCAGCTCTCAAGGAACTGTGAACATGAACCTCAAGATCCCTCTGCTCCTCCACACTGCCAAGAATCTTTCCGTTAACCCTGTATTCTGCTTTCAAGTTTGTCCTTCCAAAATGAATCACTTCACACTTTTCAGGGTTAAACTCCATCTGCCACTTCTCAGCCCAGCTCTGCATCCTATCAATGTCCCTTTGTAACCTAGAACAGCCCTCCGCACTATCCACAACGCAACCCACCTTCGTATCGTCCGAGAACTTCCACTTCTTCATCCAAATCATTTACAAAAATCACAAATAGAAGAGGATCCAGGACAGATCCTTGTGGTACACCACTCGTAACTGAGCACCATGTTGAATATTTTCCGTCAACTACCACCCTTTGTCTTCTAAGGGTCAGCCAATTCTGAATCCAATCTGCCACATTTCCCCTATCCCATGCCTCCTTACCTTCTGCATGAGCCTACCATGGGGAGCCTTATCAAACACCTTACTTAAATCCATGTATACCACATCCACTGCTCCGCCTTCATCTACGTGTTTGGTCACCTCTTCAAAGAATTCAATAAGGCATGATCTACCCCTCACAAATCCATGTTGACTATCACGAATCAAACTGTGCCTTTCCAAGTGATCATAAATCCTGTCTCTCAGAGCCCTTTCCAATAATTTGCCCACCACTGACGTAAGACTAACTGACCTGTAATTTCCAGGGTTATCCTTGTTCCCTTTTTTAAACAAGGGAATGATGTTTGCCTCTTTCCAATCTTCTGGCACTATACCCGTGGACAGTGAGGACGAAAAGATCATCGCCAAAGGACCTGCGATCTCGTCCCTTGCTTCCCATAGAATCCTTGGATAAATCCCATCAGGCCCAGGGGACTTATCTATCTTCAACTTCCTCAGAATTCCTAGCACATCTTCTTTACTAACATAGAAGCAGAGACTGCACCACAAGCCTCCAACGAGAGGACAAGGCGTGCAAACAGCAACATGGACCTGACGCACTTGGTCAGTATGGGGATGAAACCCTTGACCTTGGTGTTATTAGCACCACGCTCTAACCATCTGAGCTAACCGACCACCACTAATGTATTAGTAACGTATTAGCAACCATTATTGAACTCAACGTTGTGTCCTGAAGGCTGCAGGATCCCCAAGAGGAATATAAGCCTTGCAGCAGACCTGAGACAGAAATGATGGCAAGGGAGCATTGTGGTATACAGAAATAGCTACAGATCTACTCCAAAACCTTAGAAATGGTAGGCAACTCAGAGTCATTTTTACAGACAGAATGTAGATGTTCTGCAAAATGGTCACCCAGTCTGTGTTTTGTTTCCCCAAAGCACAAATTAAGCCTGTTTATCTGGAATTTAGAAGGTTAAGTGATGGCCTGGTTGAAGTCTTCAAGATATTGACAGGAAAAGACAGGGTAGGTAAAGATAAACTGTTACCGCTGGTTGCAGATTCTGGAACTGGGGGAATACTCTACAAAGGAGGGTCAAACTGTTCAATAGAGATGTTAGGAAGCATTTCTCCAAACAAAGGGTGGTAGAGGTTTGGAACTCTCCTCCACAAACAGCAGTTAATTAGTTGTTAAATTTGAATCTGAGCTAGATTTTTTTTGTTAAGCATTGAGGTATTAAGGAATATGTGCCAAAGGCAGGTATGTGGAGTTAGGCTACAGAAGAGTCATGGATCTCATTGAATGGGGGATTAGGCTCAAGGGGCTGAATGGGTTACTCCTGTACCTGTTATCTAATGTGAACATTGATCTAAGATAACAAGGTGTAGAGCTGGATGAACACAGCAGGCCAAGCAGCATCATAGGAGCAGGAAGGCTGACGTTTCGGGCCTAGACCCTTCATCAGAAACCTACTATCTCTGAACATTGATCTACACTGTTTTCCGAATGATTCAACATGCCTTTCTAAAAAAGCATTTCATATTTCTATTACTTCAAAGCCTTTTTCTTCCACTTTGTACTCTGACAACATTTTCAGCACAATTCTAGAACTGTTTTAATAGACTGTTCTCCCTCATTAGCATTTAAATGAAACGCTCATTTAGAAAGCCAGCACAGACACAACAGGCCATTTGGCTGCCTTCTGTTTTTTAACAATTGACAGTCTGTAAAATATACATTACTTGCATTCTATCAGATCAGTTTACTTCTTTCCCCCATTTCTACATTTGTTGTATGTACTTATGGTACAGTAAATCATTGCACAAGATCAGTTATTAACCATGCCAATAATTCAAAACTAGTTTTTATTTGTCATTTCGGATTAATGAGTAAAAAACCATCTGAGTACTTGCAGACAGTGGTAGAATGAGTGTAAAAACAATGTTTATCTGATTAAATCATCACACAAAAGATCAATGTAAACATTCCTGCATCCTTTAGCAGTCTATCGACAAAGCATGAACAGATGACTTTTTCATCTTCTCCTTCCCACAGTCACCGTCTATTCCTCCATTTGTGAAGGTTCAGCTTACATCATATCAAGCTGCAAAAGCAAACACACAAGTGAGAAACAGATTAAAACAGTACTGGGTAAAATAGCCTGGGCCCAAAGTTGACACTTGGTTGGTCTACATTTAAAAGACATTTAGATTTTTATCTTTATTCATTCACGGGATGAGGGCATTGCTAGCTAGGCAGCATTTATTACCCATCCCTAATTGTCCAGAGGGCAGTTGAGAGTCAACCACATTGCTGTGGTTCTGGAGTCATATGTAGGCCAGACCAGGTAAGGATGGCAGTTTCCTTCCTTTAAGGACATTAGTGAACCAGATGGGTCTTTCCTGACAATTGAGGATGGTCATTATTAGATTCTTAATTCCAGAACTTTATTGAATTCAAATTCCACCATCTGCCATGGTGGGATTCGAACCTCGGCCCCCAAAATGTTAACTAGGTCTCTGGATTAAGAGTCCAGTGATAATACCAGTAGGCCATTGCCTCCCCATAGTATCAGTATATGATTAAGAAATATTTGCAGAGCTTTCGGCAAGCACAGGCAGGTGGGACTAATTTAGCTTGGGATGTAAAAAACAAAATAACTGCAGATGCTGTAAATCAGGAAACAAAACAGCAATTGCTGGAAAAGCTCAGCAGGTCTGGCAGCATCTAAAGGAAAAAACAGTTAACATTTCGGGTGCGGTGATCCTTCCTCAAAACGCTTCTGTTTTTAGCTTGGGATGTGGTCGGCATGGACTGGTTGGACCGTGCTGTATTACTCTATGGTCATATCATGTCCGGAATACTGTTCGTGTTCAAGAATTGATCATTCTCTTTCATCTGATGATTGTTCTCATGACTTTCTATCACAATCCATTTTTACACCGTTTAATTCTGTGAAAACTGGAATTGCAAATGCTATCAAAACCAATGTATTGTGAAGGCAGGTTAAGGCAATGGTACTTTTAATGGAACAAATATTGGGGCAGGGAAGCCATGCTGTGCAGCACATACATGTTGGTGTAATCTTTGTTGGGTAGTAAATGATCTTGAATAATGGGAAATTAAATCACAGCCTAGAAATTAAATATCCAAATACAGTACAGCTGGTCTGCCAAGGAAGAAAACTGAGCTTCCACCTCCCTGCTCTATTTCACCACAGCCAAGCCTAAGCAATTCTTCAGCCTGATTTCTGTTCATAGTTCGGTATAAAAAATAAATTAATCCCACCTCCCTGCTTCCTTACTGATACAGCCCTGTATCAATCCCTAACTAATTTTCCCAATGACACCAGAATAAGTTGAAAAGTGATTTGTTGAGAGGAGAATAAGGGCAGTGGTTGCACGACATGAACAATGGCTAGTCAGTTGGGAAAATATAGCATGATTAAAAATATGACATTCTTGACGTTGAGAAAAATGAAGTCCAATTGAACAAGCAAGAGTTGAATAGCAAGATGAGAATCTCAGTGATTATCTTAGTGAGATAATTTCAACTAGGCAATAATTTCAGGATTATTATATGAGTCATCAGCAAACTGGTAAATAGTCAAGGAGTTAAATGCATGACTTAAAGATTGGAGTGGTAGGATTGGGTTTCTGTTCATGGGGCACCAGATCAGTAATGGAGTTGAAGGGAACTATTCTGGTTGGATAAGCTTCACTTGAAACATGCTGGAACCAGTGCCCTGGTGAATTAAATAACTGCAGAGAGGGCTTTAAACTAATTAGACGGTGCCAGGAGGCAGGGGATACATTGGCTTACAAAGCAACTATTTTGATGATACCCAAAATGAGACAGATAGGGACAAAGCAATAAATCAACAGTCTGAAATAGGGTCAAAGACCATAAGATATAGGAGCAGAATGAGGCCATTCGGTCCATTGAGTCTTCTCTGCCACTCAGAGTCATTGGCCCTTTGGCCCAACTTGCCCATGCTGCCCTGTTTTCACAATCGAACTGGTCCCATTTGCTTGTGTTTGATCCAGCCTCTACCAGACACTTACCACCCCTCGTGAACAAACTGCCCCTCTGGACACTTTTGTATCTCTCCCCTCTTACCTGAAACCTATGCCCTCTAGTTTCATACTTCCTTACCAAGAGGAAAAGCTGTTGGCTTTCTACCTTATCGATGCTGCTCATGATTTTATATACCTCTATAAGGCTATCTCTCAGTCTCCTATGCTCCGGGGAAAAATGCCCCAGCCTATACAACCTCTCAAACCTTCCAGCTTAAGTAGCATTCTAGTAATTATTTTCTGCACTCTTTTTAGTTTAATAATATCCTTTCTTTTGTATGGCAACATGAACTGCATGCAGTACTCCAAATGTGGCCTTCCCAATGAGACGTCCCAACCCCTATACTCAATGCTCTGACCAAAGAAAGCAAGCATACTGAAAAGCCTTCTTCACCACCCTATCCACCTGCGACTTCATTTTCAAGAAGCCAAGAATCTGTACCCCTAGATCTCTTTGTTCTATAACACTGCCCAAGGCCCTACCATTCACTGTGTAAGTTCTGCTCTGGTTTGACCCACCAAAATGCAACATCTTGCATTTATCTAAAGTAAACTCCATCTGCCATTCTGCTATCTGACCCAGTTGATCAAGACCTCACTGCATTCCCAGTTAACCTTTCTCACTGTCGACTATATCACCAATCTTGGTGTCATCCGCAAACTTGCTAACCATGCCTCCTAAATTCTATCCCTGATGCCAATGTCAGGGATGTCACTGAGTGGCTGCAGTGCATCCTGACCTAGGTGGGTGCTAATACAGAGATTGTGGCACACATTGGTACCATCAACATAGGTAGAACAAGGAATGAGGTCTTGCATCAAGAAGTTAGGGACTGAGCAGTAAATTATAAAGCAGGACCTCAACGGTTGTAATACCAGGATTACTTCTGGTGCCACATGCTATTAAGTCCAGAATTGAGAACAGGGCAGATAAATGCGTGGCTAAAGAATTAGCGCAGGAGTGATGGTTTTATATTCTTGGATCATTGGGACCATTTCTGGTGAAGGTGGGTCCTTACAAGTGGGACAGTCTGCACCTGAACCAGAATGGCACCAACATCCTTCTGGAGGGTTTGCTACTTCTGTTGGTGGAGCTTAAACTAGCTTGGTGGGGGAGGGGACACAGTGCGTTAGTTCAATAGTGACAAGGCATGGTTTAGAAAAGGATCCTAGGCAGAGAGAGTTCATCTACGTTGTGTCTAAAGAAAGTAAGGTGAGGCTGGAAGGCCTGGACTTTAATATTAGGAGTATTATAGGTGAGACAGATGAAATAAGGGCATGGATTGACATACGGAAATGCGATGTTGCTGCCATCACAGAGGCCTGGTTGAATCATGCAATCAGAAATTGATAGCACAGAAAGAGACCTTTCAGTCCATTGTGGCCGTGCCAGTCAAAAAAACCATCTAAATATTCTATGCCCATTTCCCAGCGCTTGGTCCTGTAAACTGTAGCTTGGAACTCCCCGTTGGTCATTCGTTCTACCCTAAATGAAAACCGAAAGAACCGCAGATACTGTAAGTCAGGAACAGAAACGGAAGTTGCTGAAAACATTCAACAGGCCTGGCTGCATCTGTGAAGAAAAAAATCAGAGTTAGCGTTTCAGGTCTGGTGACCCTTCGTTCTCGGAATGGGAGTTGATTCTTGTTTTTTCCTCTCCTCTTGTGAATTTGATCCCGATGAATACAAAGAATATAAAGAAAATTACAGCACAGGAACAGGCCCTTCGGCCCTCCAAGCCTGCGCTGATCCAGATCCTATATCTAAACCTGTCGCCTATTTTCCAAGGATCAGTATCCCTCTGCTCCCTGCCCATTCATGTATCTGTCTAGATACATCTTAAATGACACTATCGTGCCTGCCTCTACCACCTCCACTGGCAACGCGTTCCAGGCACCCACCACGCTCTGCGTAAGGAACTTTCCACACATATCTCCCTTAAACTTTTCCCCTCTCACCTTGAAATCGTGACCCCGAGTAGTTGAGTCCCCCACTCTGGGAAAAAGCTTCTTGCTATCCACCCTGTCTATACCTCTCATGATTTTGTAGACCCCAATCAGGTTCCCCCTCAACCCCTGTTTTTCTAATGTAAATAGTCCTAATCTACTCAACCTCTCTTCATAGCTAGCCCCCTCCATACCAGGCAACATCCTGGTGAACCTCCTCTGCACCCTCTCCAAAGCATCCACATCCTTTTGGTAATGTGGCGACCAGAACTGTACGCAGTATTCCAAATGTGGTCGAACCGAAGTCCTATACAACTGTAACATGACCTGCCAACTCTATACTCAATACCCCGTCCGATGAATGAAAGCATGCCATATACCTTCTTGACCACTCTATCCACCTGCGTTGCCACCTTCAGGGTACGATAGACCTGAACACCCAGATCTCTCTGTGTATCAACTTTCCCTAGGGCTTTTCCATTTACTCACTCTTGAATTGGATCTTCCAAAACGCATCACCTTGCATTTGCCTGGATTGAACTCCATCTGCCATTTCTCCACCCAACTCTCCAATCTATCTATATTCTGCTGCATTCTTCGACAGTCCTCTTCACTATCGGCTACTCCACCAATCTTAGTGTCATCTGCAAACTTGCTAATCAGACCATCTACACCTTCCTCCAGATCATTTATGTATATCACAAATAACAGTGGTCCCAACACGGATCCCTGTGGAACACCACTGGTCACAGTTCTCCATTTTGAGAAACTCCCTTCCACTACAACTCTCTGTCTCCTGTTGCCCAGCCAGTTCTCTAGCCATCTAGCTAGTACACCCTGGACCCCATGCGACTTCACTTTCTCCATCAGCATACCATGGGGAACCTTATCAAACGCCTTACTGAAGTCCATATATATGACATCTACAGCCCTTCCCTCATCTATCAACTTTGTCACTTCCTCAAAGACTACTAGGAATCAGGATAGCACACAAACCCACAGGTATAGTACAACAAACACTCACAAAGACCAAAGACCGCATACCCACGACATGCAGGACCAACATAGTGTACAAAATACCA